CAAGGTTGTTCTGGGTCCCTTATATTTCCATTTGAATGACAGGATCGCTTTCAATTTCTGTAAAAGCAGCTAGAATTTATTTTTTATTTTGTGTTGGTTTTTTGAGACAGGGTCTTGCTATGCAGTTCAAGCTGACTTTGAACTCGCTTTGTGGCCCAGGCTGGCCTCAAACTCATGATCTTCTTTTTTTTTTTTTTTAAGGTTAAGGAATTTTCTTTATTTTTTTACAAATTAAGTCTATGTAGATGTATATTTTTGAATCAAAACCACCTGTGTCTTCACAGTATGAGTTAGAGAATGCAGCCTGAGCTGAAACCAAGGAACTAGAAAAGAAAGTGGAAATTACAGTGATACTTGTATTAAAAACCTGTTAGGCATTTACTTTTAAAGTATTTTCTTTATATGTTGTCATTCTTGGCACTGTTTCTAAAGAAAACCTTCATTATCCCAAGCAAAAAAGCACAAGAGGTGGAGTTTAGCTTCAAGAGGTGGATTTCAGATTCTCAGGCTTGGCAAAGAATCACCAAATTTATGGAGAGTTGCTAACGGGGGCTTACTAGGCAGGAAGCCCCTTTAGTAAGGTCTCAAACCAGAGGCTAGAGGCAGCAGCTAAGCCAAAGAGCAGCATCCTCAGCATAAGTGAGCCATTCTGGGTGGTGTGCTACTCCAGGTTTCATGGGATGGCTTAGCAACATAGCACACTACAACCGGCAGCTACTGTGTCAAACTGTGCACTGGTTGTGAACAGGGAGATTCACAAATAGCATCCCACTGATAATGCACTTTCAACAGCTTGGCCCCCTTGCGTTAAAACCCATGAGTAGTCAGGGCCATGACCACTTCTGATGCTGCCCTTCTGTGTAAGCTGACTGTGGCAGCCCACAGGAAAGGAACTGGTGATCCACCATTATGACTGCTCATCCACACCTATAACCATAAAGCTGCAGGGAACTGGAGCTCTTGCAAGTTTGGTCACCTTGCTCCCACCTGCAAATTTCTGGAAACAGGTGAGTGGACCAAAAATTAAAGGGCATCTATAAAATGAACATTTATCTACTGCCCTGAACCTCTGGCCTGACCCTCCCTAGGTGTCCAGGTAAAAGTGCACCGAAGGGCTCTTAAGATGCTGACTCCCAAATCATCACAAACTCATGATCTTCTTGCCTCAGCCCTCCAAGTGCTGGGGTTATGGATGTGTGGCACCACACCTGATGTGGCTGGAAATTTGATAGGAATTGTGTTGACTCTGTGACTCAATTTGGGGGGTGTTGTCATTTCAGCATATTAAATCTTCAACTCCATGAATGCGGGATGTTTTTCCATTTATGTGTCTTTTTTATGTTTAATGATGTTTTGTAGTTTATAGTATAGGGTATCTAATATCTACTCTATTTTTTTTACTTCTAAAACTTTTAATACATAAATATTGGATCTCCTGAATTTTTATTTATTTTTGTGATAGGGTCTATGTTGCCCAGACTGGTCTCAAACTCCAGGGCTCAAGTGATCCTCCTGCTTCAGCTTCCTGATTAGTTGGGACTACAGGCACACATCACTGTACCTAGCTATATATATATACATATATATAGATATATATGTATATATATGCATATACATGTATGTATGTCTCCATATATAAATGTCTATCTTCTCTTCCACAATTTCCACTTATCTTTTGGTGTGCACTTTGGAAGGATTCTTTGAGATGATCTTTTAATTCCCTAACTCAGTGTTCATCAGTATCTATTTCTTTGTTTGTTTTTTGGTACCAGGGATTGAACTCGGGACCTTGAGCTTTCGAGGCAGGCTCCGGAACCACTGAGCTAAATCCCCGGCCTCCTCAGTATCTATTTCTATATCAATTATTTCTATAGTTTTTTAATTTAAATATTTACCTATTTTAAATTTCCAAGGACATTCTAGTTTTCAGACTGTTCCATTTTCACAACCTGCCTTTGTTACTCTAAATGTCACTAAGAGCAAAGACAAGATTTTCAGAAAGTTTTCTCCTTGTTTCTGCATTAACCTTTTTTCCCCCCAATGTGTGATACTTGCTCTAAATTGGTCTTCTTTCAAATTATGGGTTCTCTATTAGTGTTATTTTATAGTGGAGACCTAGATCATTCAGCTTTGCTAACTGGCAACTCATTTGGAACTAGAGACCGCTGTTCAGTTCTCTACAGTGGCCCTTGCCCCCTGAGGATAGTGGTATTAGGTTGAAGGCTGATTCCCTACAGTGACTTGGCTCTGAGAGGAAAACTACTAGAGGCTTCCTCAGTGGACACGATTGATTGGTCATGGTGTGCAGGATGCTGAGTCATCAACCCTCAAGCCTGCTGCTGAGAGAAAGAAGAAAAGGAGAGGAAGCCAAAATATAGATAGTATTTGAAACCTTTCCCAAGAAAGAACATGGGGTGTGAATAATGGCACAAGGAACTCAACTGAAGAAAACATGAGCTTGACTAGGTGTCTCAGGGAATTGTATGTCCAAATCAGCCACAAATCCAGCTTTCAAAAAAAAACAAAAAAACCCCCTCCTATCTGTAAAAGAACCTTCAGGGCTCCAAACTTGTATCAGCAGGAAATGACTGTGAAAACTGTGAAGTCTCTCAAAAGGCTTACATTTGTGCCCACTTCTGATGGGTGAAGAAGAATAGTCCAGCATATAGAGCCAATGGCCAAAAAAATGATTGCCAAGAGCAGAACCAGGATATAATCATAGAATTCCTCCCACAGCCAAGCAAAGGATTTTTACAATAACTATTTAGAAGGATTCTAGCGCTTATTTAGACTCTGCTATGAGCTTGAACATTTCTTTAACTGAAGTTGGAGTTCTAATACAGTGTATCTAGGTGTAAGCATTTGGAAATCAGTACAAGCTAAAATGGAAGAATTCACAATGATAGCAGCTAACATTTAATAATATTCCAGACCCTAAGGCATTGTTTCAGTTCACATAGCAACTCCCTGAAGTATGCAATATCATGAAGTTATTTTACTAATAGGGATGCTGAGATAGTCAAGTCACTTCCTTAAGATTACATAACAAATAACTCTCAGAGTCAAGATTCGAAACTATGGTGTCTGGGCCAGGGATTTAGCTCAGTGGTTCTGCCACCTGCCTTGCAAGCAAAAGGTCCCAAGTTTGATCCCTGGTACCAACAAAACAAAACTATGGTGTCTGTCCAGAGTGTTTCCTCTTATCCCTGACCATAGAAGTCTTCTGGGCATGATGAGGAACATACAAACCTGAGAAAGGAGAGAAGACGTATACATCTGTTCAGGACAAGGGCGTTATATCTAACAAAGGTGACATTGAACTATTTTCAATCTACCAGAAGGTAGACGACTTTTAAGAATTCTTAACCTTGTTAGGGATTCATCTTGTTTACTGATGAATCACCAGCACTACTGGTGTAACTAAGCTATCTGGCTCACAGTAGGTGCTCAATAAATATTTGTTGAACGAGGGAGGAGTGAATATCAGAATCTTGCATATTAGACAAAGGTTCCTGACCTACCATGCCATGCCACATTTGCCGTGACAGCTGCAGAGTCTGAAGTGTTTGGCCCTGAACAAATGGTCCTTGAAATAAACTGAGAGAAACTAGGCACTGTGTTTTCACTATAAAGGTGCTCAATGTTCACAGTTTCCTTATTTTTATTTATTTTTTTAGTTTCCTTATCTTTAAAATGGAAGGTGTTCCTCCCCCTGCCCAACTCTACAGACCTTGAGGAAGGATTTATTTTTTTCAAAAGCTTCTCACCTACTGTAACTTCTTTATTTTCTCTAACTTCTTATGAGCTTGCTTTACACATGTGAGTGAACTTGGAATCTTGGGGTTTTACTTACTGCCTTTTCTATGTGTAGGGCCAGTTCTCATGATGAGTTTGCCAAGGGACACTGGCTTCCATTTTCTGTTGAGCAAATCATCTGCACCCTTCTATGTTGCAATTATTTTTTAAAAACATTGATTTACTAAATTCATAATGTGGAAAATCCAGAATATAGTGGTGATTGAGAAAGTCACGTTTCCTGACCTCATGACACTTAAAAAACGTTTCTCTGTATTTTAAAAACACAGACAATAGGGATTCAATTGTAGAACAACAGAAATAGTTCATCTTCTTAGCCCCACGTGGAGCGAATGGTTTAAGAAAATCAGCTCAGTAGGTATGTTCTGCCAGTGCAGGTGGGAGAGACAATCCAATCCGCACACAAATCTTATTTTTCTTAGAACTAAGCTGTGCCTTGAATTATCTTCTGGTGATTTCAGACTTCCAGGCAATTCCTTCTGCATCGACCAAAAGAGAAAAGGAAATAAATGCATCTTGGTTCTGGAGAGAAATTTTTAAAAAGCAAGACAAGCAAATAAAAGTCCCGACTTAATCATGTGTGATCTAGTTTAACTGATGTCTTTAAACTTGAGCTGTAATACTTGACAGCGATGACGGACCCCGCCCCGGGTGGGCGCCGCGGCAGTCTCCCCGCTCCCACGGACGCGCCGAGTTCCCAGGGCCGGCCCACTGCCCCAAAGACACGGAAGGGCACCACCTTGTCTGTACCTCGACGTCTCTCCCCCACCTCGTGCAGCACGGAGCTGCTGCTCCCAGAGGGGGTAGTCGTTTCTGATAACAGTTACACTTTCAGGAAACCGAGCTACGCCTCCCTCGGACGCTGTCAGCTGGGAAACCGGGCGACTGCTGTCACTCTGGGCTCGGCACCCCGCGAGGACGTCTGCCGCTGGGCCCAGGGCCCGGGCGCGCAGTTGAGGCCCCGCGGCCCGCGGTCCGGAGCCGACCCGTGCGCCCCGGGGTGCAGAGGCGGCTCCGCCCGAGCCCCGCTGTCCGGTTTCGTCGGCGCCCGGCCCGCCAGGAGTTCGGACCCGCGCCGAGGCCCAGGCTGCGTTCCCGCCTGGGGCTCGTGGCCGCCGTCCGGGGAGCGGAGAACAGCCGCGCTGGACGGTCCTGCTCCCGAGGCGCCCCCTCCCGGCCGCACCTCACGGCGGCCACACCTCGCCCGCGCGCCTAGGGCTCCCCGCCCACGCGAGGCGCTCGAGGGTGGCGCGGGACGGAGGCTGGGCGCCCGCCGCAGCACAAGGGCGCGGGCCGGGCTGCGGGCGGGGCCGGGGCTGCGGGCGGGAGGCGGCTGCTCCTGCGAGGCCCGGGCAGGCGGGAGGGGCCGCACCTGAGGAGTCCGCCTCTGGCCGCGGCCGCCACCGCCTCGCCCCGCCCCGGGGGCTGAGCGCGGGCAGCGCATGCCACAAGGACGCCAGCCGGCGGCGGCGCTAGCACCTCGAAGCCGGCGCCGGAGCCAGCGCGGCGCAGCACAGCGCCCTAGCGGACTGGGGCCGGGGAGGCAGACGGCCGCGGCCAGGCCACCCCGGGTCCCGTCCTTGCGTCCCGCCAGGCCAGGTGAGCGGCGGGGGTGCGCGGGGCGAAGGGCGCGGGGCGCGGGGCGCGGGTGCGGGTGCGGGAGGGCGGGCGGGACAGCCTGGCGCGCCGGGCGGTGCTGCTCTCGGGAGCCGCGGAGGGCGCGGGATGTGGGCGCGGGCGGCGGCGGCGAGGGCGGCCGGAACCGCACCGGGTCTCGCCGCAGCCTCGAGAGCGCCCGCCGGAGGGACTCAGCCGCGCGGCCGGCGCTCGGAGGCCAAGGGCCTGTCACCCCGCTTGGCTTGCTGCCTTTGTGGCGGGAGCGAGGCGGCCCGGGCGTGGGGCGAGGGAGGCGGCGGCGAGGAGCGCAACCGTCCGGCCCCCGAGACCCGGGTCCGTGCAGTGGCACGGCAGGTGGGGAGACGCGGCGGGACCCGGAAGAGGATGCCTAGAGTTCGGCTCGGGAGAGTGGGGGAGCCCGGAGGTGACCAGGCGCGCGCTTGGGTCCCGGGTCCCTCTCCTCCACACCGGGTGTCACTTCGTAGCCAGCGCGCGCGCGTCCGGCCAGCGTCCTCACTTTTCCTATGAGCAGCTGAGGACCGTCCTTGTTTCTGAAAGACACAAAGGCTCGCGTTGACAGCTGCCCCTGACACAGGCAGACAGAGAGGTGAGGGGGGCGCGAGCCAGGCCGGGGTGATGACGGGCCGTTCGTTAAAGCGGATCGATCCCCGCAGCCTCTCTCCCGAGCTCCATTAAAAGGGAATTATTCGTATAGATTCCGTGCGTGGGGTTCTCAGTCAAACCGAGCCCAGGTAACGTCCCAAACGCGACTCATCTGCCCCAGCAGCTGCTGCCTCCACCCGCGGCCCGGCGCACGGACAGTGCGGGAGGAACTCCTCGATCGCGCGCCTTTCCTCTGTGAACGAGGCTCTTCCAGGGTCCTTGTCCGCCCCACCCCGAGCCCCTGTCCCCTGTCCCCCCCCCCAAGAAGATAAAAACCAAATTTATTTTCCACTCTCGGCACCGTGAGCCCCTCCCCCTTTGAGACGAGAAACTCCGTTTAAATGCCATTTAAAAACCTGCCCATTTAGGAGCAAGAGCGTTTTCTTTTGTAAAGTGCTCTGAAGCAAATGCTCCTTATAAACCCTCACTCCTCTGTTCATGCTCTTATATTTTAAATCCTGGAGTTTTGAGGCTGTGTGGGTTCTTTTTCTTTTTGAGAATTTCTGGGAAATTTTTACACATTTCAATGCTAAAAAGTATCTAAAAGAAAAACTAGTTGTTTAATTGACAATAGTAATAAAATTACATGCAGATAGGTATGCATTGAAAAATAGGTATGCAAAGGAAGATTTCAGTAAATATGGGAAAAGTAATATGAATAGGGTAAAATTTTCAAACAACAGTTAAGAACATACAATGCAAAGTATGCTCTTTCCCATCCCATGCCCCAAGTCCTACTTCTCCCAGAGGCAACCACAGTTGTAAATTTCTTGTACATATACCCTTCCATAAATTGCTATTAAAATGGAATACATCAAGGAAATCAAGGATGAAAGAAACTGATATAAGAGTGAACTACATATTAATGATGGTGACTGTTAAATATCCACTCATGATGATGTTATAATCTTTTACTTGGCCTAGAGTGGAATCATTACCTTGAAGATCAATTAGGGTGCTAAAAATTTCAGAGCAAGTTATCTCCTGATCCCCCCAATGCACCGGTTTCTTTCCACTGCTTTTTATAAGCTTTGTTGAATTTTTCTTCCACTTCGGAACTCTGTGCAGTAGGGAATGAGAAATATAGTTTACTCTGTCTACTGCAACGTGTGTCGGAACACATTGAAAGGACATCTGTGTACTCCCGTTGACATGACGTAAGATAAAAATTGTAGAAGTCAGGAGGAATAGGGAGGCCAAGTTTAAGACATTTGGCCACACCTCTTAGTTGCAGGTCTCCCTATGCCATATACTGGCCACACAAAGTAACTTTTTTTTTTTTTTTTTTTTTTTTTTTTTGGTACCGGGGATCGAACTCGGGTCGTTGCACCTGCGCAACAAAGTAACTTTTTTTGAAATGCTTTTGTTTTCCCCCCAGCTAAGTAAAAGATTTGAGGTATATGGTTTTTAAGCATCTTCCAACTCCAAAATCCTATTAAAATGATGCTGGAGGTGTCCTAAAAAAATTCCTGAATGGTAGGTTCATAAAGAGAAAGTTAGAGATGTTTAATCTACATTTCTCCTCTTATCAGTTTGATACCATTGGAGAACAGCCTCTTGATTTTCCCACAAAATGTCTGTTTATTGTGTCAATAGAGGCCAACCTCTAGGCTAAATGAGCCTTTGCATATCACCTCGTGTGGTTAAGGAGAGGGAATTCTTCACAGCTTATGGTGCCAATTTAGGGAAATTACTCTTACCAAACCCTTTTCTTTTTTGATAAAATGGAAATAAAGTTCATTTGCCCACTTCAAAGAGACTTGACATAATTAGCAATACTTAAAAGTATTTAGATGATGAATATCCCTTATCACAAAGCTATTTTAGTTACTTTATAAACATTCACTTACAGATGTTCTTAGTAGAAACTTTCCTAATCTTTAAAATATCTACAACCTCGAGGCTAATGATTTCTAGATGTGCCAGAGTCAAGGAAAAATTATAAAGTTGTGAAAGTAAAAAAAAAAAATTGCTAACTTTGGTCACTAAGTAGAATCTCAAGGGATTTAAAAATTACACTGTAAATGGTGATTGCAAAAATTATTGATGTTAACAGAGATCTTAAAAGTTTCAGAACTACTGATAGAAATATTATGTAATTATTTTGAATAGGTCTGTAGTAAAAGACAAATAGTCTAAATTACAGAAAAATCTAAAAAGTTGTTTGATATGAGAATAGAATTAGAAGAATAGATTAATAAGAGTGCTTGATTTACTGACAAAACTGATAAAAGCAAAAGTACCAGTAGTGCAAATTGTCTAAAATGGTGCTAATTTTTATTTTCTCCAGCCCCCTTCCCTGTATTGCTGTACAAGATGACTTATATTGTAGATACATTTTTTTCTCATTTCTTATAAGGATTTTTAATAGTTTACTTCCTATTATTTATAGCAATTTAGAATAGTTTGTGCAATATATCCTATAATTTATTTCACCTTTACTATTTGGGGTTTTCCAGTATTTTTAAAAAATATGATGAGTGTAACTATCTTCTATCTCTTTCTGCTTTCTTCTTTTCTTTTTAACATCCTTAGGATTCTTTCCCTGGAGAATCAGGATAGTGTTGTAAATGAGTGGGCTCTAAAATCAGAATCCATGTTCAAACCTAGCTCTATTACTTATTGACAATATTGAACAAATGACTTCTTTTCTCAGAACTTTAGCTTTCTAATCTGTAAAGTGGGTATAGTAATAGCTCCGTACACAACTGTTAAGAAAAAGGTGCATGAAAACACATGTAAATATTTTTTATTTTTATTAGGAAATTTCCAGATTTCTGAGAATTTCTAATTACTTTCTGAATTGGTTATAAAATATATACTGTCCTTAACAATTTATTTGTGAGCTTATGTTATTTTGAAACAGTTAAATTATTTTTACTAATTGATCACTATCACATTGTATCCTTTTGTGTTTGCATTTCTTAGGTCTTGTGTATTTTCAGCAATATTGCTTATAGTTTTCTAAATGAAATCATGAAAGCTGCATAGCTTCAGCGGGTTTGAATTAGTCTATAAGGTGGATACATGGGAGAGATCAGTTATAACACTAATGAAAAATAAACTGAATTCTTCAATAGTTTTTTCAAATTAATAGTTTTTGTATTTTCAGTCTGTGATGTTTATTAGCTATTATTATTTTAAATCTTAGAAAAGTCTCTGTTAAAATTAACAACTAATATATAAATCCCATTTAAGTTAAAATATAATCCTGTCCTATTTTTCTTGAACAGCTGATTTATAAATAGTGTTGTTGTGATCACAGTTTGGTAGACTTTTTACCAGGAATGCTTCTCAAAACCTAATAGACAGGGTGAGGGAAGAGGAGAAGAAAGAGAGATAGAGAGGAACAGGAGAGGAGAGGAGGGGAGCAGAGTAGAGCAGAACAGAGAGGGAAGAGGAGAGAATATTTATGATCTCCAATCAGGTTATCTCTTGGCTACAAATGGATCATGAAGTTATGCCTTCTGACTTGGGTTTTTATACAGTCAAGGTAATTTAGACTACACAAAAGCATGCCCTTGTAAGTTCTAGGGTCCAGCAGCCCTGATATTTCTGGCAAACACACACCAACATGGATAACAGCAGCTCTTTGTGCTGTGGGCCCCAGGGGGCTCTCCGTGGTGTACTCTTCCTTCCCTCCCTTTCTTGACTGACAGGTGATGGCCACTCCTCCAGGTCCAGATGTGAAGTCCCGCAGTGACTTCGCTCCACTTCTGCCAACTTTCTACCCTACTACCCCTTCTGTGTGTTTTCTGTCGTCCTGTCTATGATACAGAAAACTCACTATCTTTTCAAGGTTGTGGTCTCAGATCTTATTTTTATTTTGTTATGCTTCATGAGTATCAATGGTCTCACAATAGAGTATAGCCATGATTAGTGTAGGTTAACATGGGAATCAGCACTTGATAAGTGTTTGTTGCAGTGAACTATATCTTGTATTGTCTTCTCTGTGCCTAGGCATGGTTCTGTTTTTATGGTACAAGTCTGCAGAAACAAACTTCAGTTGTGTCCTAATAGCGCTGTTTAGCTGTATTTACCAAGGTTAGGAGTTAGGAAACTTGATTGTTCTGGTTGCAACTTGTGTGCTCAAAGGAGATTTTAGCCTTTTTTTTGTTTCTAACTCTTGTACATTCTTTTCTTCTGTAAAATGGGATTAACAATTATGGTTCCAGTTATCATCAACCTTATGGAGAGGACTGTGATGAAAATAAAATGAAACCATAAATGTGGACTTGTTTTAGAAAAAGAGTCTTCAAATTTATGCTATGTTGTTCACAAATTACTTCTAGGAGTATACAAATAGGATTACTTCTAGGAGTTCACAAATCCTTCTAGGAGTGTCTGTATCTTTTTTTTCTTTTGGTACCGGGGTTCGAAATTGGGACCTTGCGCTTGTGAGGCAGGCAGCAGAACCACTGAGCTAAATCCCCGGCCCTAGTGTCTGTATCTTTGAGAAAACCTCAGCTCAATGCGAAGTTGCACTTGGATCTTGGGGTTAGATGCAAATTCTTAGGGTCCACTGAATCATAAACTCTGGGGAGGGAGCCTAAAAATACACATTTTAGAATCCTTATGATGTGAACCACTGTTCTAGGGAGTAAGAAACTTCAAGAGCCACTTTAAAAAAGTATTCTTTGATTAGTTAAGTATTAATTTAAAAAATAACCCAGAAATATCATAAATCACTTTTGCATGCTAAACATGGAATGAAAGTTAACCATTGTTGGCACTATTTGTCTTTTAACCTCTCAATTTAATTCAGGCAGACATTGTAAACACGGATGCTTGGACAGGCCAAACAGTAATTTTTGGGTGACAAGATGGGACACTTGCTAAATAGTAGGAGGCAACAGAGTCTGAAGGTGCTAGAATTCCTGAGACTCCACTGATTGTTGCCTTTTGGGAGCGAGAGCAGTATTGCCAGACCATTTGATTTTTTAAAAGTGAAGCTTGAAATGCACATTTTTATGTGAATTTAAATGTTGATAATGAATTTTAATATGGATCCCACAAAACAAATTTGGAAGCCAGATAACTTCCAACCTGTGAGTTAATTATTAACTAATGTAGAAATATTTGCAGTACTCCATTCAGTATTATTTTTTTTTTTGGCCGGGGATCAAACTCAGGACATTGCGCTTATGAGGCAGGTGTCGGAACCACTGAGCTAAATCCCTGGCCCCCATTCACCATTATTAATAATGAGAGTGCATATTAAAGACACAGGCATTTTTCAACTTTCAGATTGTTAAGATTCAATAGATAGATAAAATCTAGTGTTGGCAGTTGGATAAAGAAATGGTTATTGTCATGTACAAAGAGTGAAGGCAAATAATTTGTTCTTCTGGCGAGTAATTGACATCATGTACAGTATCAGCCTTTATCCAGACCTGCCCTGACAATATAGTAGCCCTTCACCAAAGGTAGCTATCTAAAT